GAATCTGGGGGCCTGGAATGGATTAGGGCTTTTCAATGTTAAATTTGCCACATGCAGACCTGACTGTATCAAAGAACCACCAGCTTCTGGAGTGATTTTTGTTGCTGATGCCCCTGAAAATCCAAAAATGAAGAGAACCACTCACCAAATCGAATTACTTTACTCTTTTGTCCTCCTATTACCTGTCTCCCCCAAATTATATCTTTTGAACCAAAAACTGCCCCAAAATGGTAACTGGAAGTGATGGGATGTTACTTCTGATACTCTGCAAAGGGTGAGTTGACCCCCAAACTTGGATATTTGCAGACCCTGCTGTTCTAAGTGTAAGAAGCATGCTTTAGCAGCCAGTGGAAAACAGAAAAATTGGAGAAACACAAGAAGGGGAAATAAATCCCGATGAAATATTTTTCCCCCAAATAAGTGAAGTGCTTCTGAAGACAAGGCTTTACTCACTCAAAATGCCAGATGTCTTGCAGTATCAAGATTTGTATATAAGACAGTCTCTAAGATTAGAGGCTATAATTCTTGTGCCTACTGTAGATGCATAAAACTCTTAAATCAGAGACGTATTTCTGCACCTGGAGGGATGCTCCTTCTTCATGCAAAGCTCAAGTCTTCTGAAGTCCTGGAAATTAAGGCACAGATTCATGGTTGTACTCCATCAGTTCATCTGAGGAAATTGATTGTGATTTCATGAAAGTTTCTGCTAAAATAAGTCTGCTAATCTTAAAGGTGCCACAAGATCCCTCTTTTTCATCCTCCGCTTCTTTTCCATAGAAGAATAGAGTTGGAATGGGTCCCCAGAGGCCATCTAATCCAACCTCCTGCCAGTGCAGGAAATCTGCAGCACTTCTGAAAGATGCCCTTCCATCCACTGTCTAATGACCTTCTGTGAAGGAGAGCCCCATCACCTTCCAGTGGAGTCTGGTTTTTCCAGTCATATGTGTTATTGAGCATATGAAGTTTCATTGATGCTTGCAATGATTTTGCCGCCCTTTGTTCTTTGTATACCTTAAGGTGAGTTGCCTTAATGCCCAGTCTGTTGTGATTATTTGCCATCTAGTTACCTTTGACTTACATGGTGACCGTCTTAATGAGGGGCTGTCAAGAAAGCTTCATTCACAGCCCTGTTCAGGTCTTGTAAACTCTGGAAAGCATTTGATTCTTTGATATATTTGATAAAATGTGAGTGATGTTGGTCTCTCTCTCTCAATGGGCTGTTGTAAAGGCACATGGTTTAATGTTGTCCAGTGGACCCTTGGTAGCCACTGGGTTTTGGACCCAGGACCCCCTGTGGATACCAACATCCATGGATGCTCAAGTCCCATTAAATCCAATGGTATAGTAAAATGGTGTCCTTGAAATAAAATGGCAAAATCAAACTTTGCTTTTTAGAATTTATATATTTTTAAAATTCAATTTTTCCTCCCCGTTCGTGGACTTCAAGTCTGCGGCCTTGCTCTTCGTGGGAAAGGACAAGGGTTATAATTTAAATGGCTGCGTGTGCGACATTAGTTTAAATGGGGCTCAAATATTTGTGAACCACCATTTTCGTGGGGGTAGATGGGTCCGGAACGGATCTACCACAAATTGAGAGGGGCTACTGTATTTTCAAGCTGTGGATGCTTGAATCTGTGGATACAGAGGGCCGACTGTATAATTTTTCCATTTTCCACCTCCTAGATCTAAAAATAAAAATAAAAAAATTGCACTGCTGAATCCACAAAAGTGTGATATCTTTATTAGGCCAACCAAATGCACAAAATACATGGTGCAAGCTTTCAAAGCTCCACTTAGCTTCTTCATCAGGCAGAGGTGTTAAAAATGAAATAGGAGACAGCCTAGATATCAAACGAAGTTTCTTTTGGTGCTGCTAAAGGAGTATAATTTTATTTCCTGGACTTTATGATTCTTTGTCTCCCAGAGTCCACATGGCCAAAGAAGAGGAATGGCTTACCTGTATGGATATCCCTCCAAGTCATCCTAACAGAAACAACTCTAAATACATCTTGACAAAATGTCTCTCTTCAGACAACAGTATCTTCCATTGTCTTCCACTATCTTCCAACAGTTCTTACCCTCAGGAAGTTTTTCCTAATGTTTTGGTGGAATCTCTTTTCCTGTCATTTGCATCCATTGCTTAGTCCTAGTCTCTGAAGCAGCAGAAAACAAGCTTGCTCCTCTTCCTTTCAGATATTTAAGCATGGCTATCATGTCACCTGTTAACTGTCTCTTCATAGAATCCTAGAACTGGAAGAGACCGCCAAGGACCATCTATTCCAACCCCTTTCTGCCATTCAGGAAGAGTGCCACCCCAGCCTCCTTGGCCTCTCCTTTATCTGCTGTTTCAGGATCCATTTAGTTGGCAGCCCTCACAGCCTGTTGATTTCCCCTTTCTTTGCCTAAATAATCTCATACGGGCAGCCGAAATGCAGGCCAACTCAACTCAACTAATGTTTTTATAACAGTGTTCTGATCCATTTGTTCTCACAGGGCCCGGAGTTTCATGCTTGAACAGAGCTATTCTTCATCTGACGGTTTGAGTCGGAAGCCAGAAAGCAGTTAACGCATTAGCCAGAGTCATTACGGAAGGGACGTTCTCGCTTAAGGGAAGTTCAGCTAGATTGATTTTGTGGCAATCTGGGAATGTCACAGGAACAGCTTCTGCTCCTAGCTGCGCTGTTTGTTGCCTGAGCTCCCAACCTACCTGTGAGAGAAGGGCTTTCTCTGCATAGCAGCGACCAAAGTTGGGGGTATGTGGAATTTTGCTATTTAGGCTGCAAGGATAGAGACACCTACTTGAGAGTAAGCCACAAGGCTTATGGTCCCAGTGGTCCCTTCCATCTCTGTGACCCTTGTAGGACTCAGCTCTCAGTCAACAAGTTTAGGATGACATTCCTATTTGCCTATATTTCATTCTTTAAGGTAGAAACTGGTTTTAGAAATGGCTTTCTTGGCTAATTGTCTAGAGGCAATGGTGCTCAAGCCATAGGCAACTGCAGTTGAATGCTTTTTACAGTGCAATGGGTGAGGAAGGGGAAAACACTGTGGGCTGTCTTCTCTCCCACCCCATTTAGAAAAAAGGAAGCCAATTCTATGTGGATGCTGGTTTGAGAGTGTGACGGGAAGCCATCATGCTGTAGGCCACTGACTGCAGTTTCTAATGAACAGTCTTAATGGAGTTGTTTCTGCTTTTGCTCTAAAGCGTTGATTCCCAAACTTTGTTCCTCTAGAAGTTTGGGACTTCAGCTCCTAGAATTCCTGAGTCTTGGCCAAGCTGACTGGGGTTTCTGGAAACTGAAGTCCAAAATGCTTGGAGGAACAAAGTTTGAGAATCCCTGCTCTAATGTATGCATTG